CTGGAGGTAATAGAGAGCCACCAAAGGATTTAAAGCATGGAGGGTAACATTATCTAATTGGTTGTTTCAAAAGCACATTCTAGAAGCTCTGAAAAAAACTGGGGAAAAAGCAGTACTAAAGGAACTAAGACCAATAGAAGAATCTGCAATAATCCAAGCCAAACACAATGAGAAACTAGCATTTGGTGACTAAATCCATGTGAAGGTTAAGGAGAAATCAGGGTTCTAATTTGAACACCCCAGTGTATAAGAGTAGAAGAACTTCAATTTGAGACTCACAAAGTTGGCAGCATATGTGCAACAGCTACCTTCAGATATCTTTCAGGCATCTATGGAACTCAGGAGAGATTTGCTGAAAACTCAGACTTTCAAGGTAGTTCTGATGAAAATGTACAGATCCCGGTGTGTTTTCGGAAAAAACTGCTGTGTTTGAAAAATTTGCCAAAAACCAGCTATTGCCAAGTCATTTTGAAGAAGACTTGAGATCTAGATCTGGTTTCATGGTATTGATCTGGAAGTCATTTGCCTAAACATACTGGTTAAATCCATGAGAACAGAAATTTTATAAAGAATGGAAAGGACAAAGGGTAGAAGGTTAAGGGCTGCCAGTTTTGTTCAAGAGCGAACGGAGAAGAAAGAGCGTGGGAAGGATGTTGCTATGAAACGGCCCCCTGGTCCCCACCTACAGCAGCCTCCACACTTCCATTCTCCAGCCTTTAATGCACCTTTTGCCCACGTACTGGAGATACCTTGCTAAAACAGACCTCAAGTCATATGATTACCAGCTCAGAAATCTTGGCCGGCTCTCCATTTGCCTATAAAGTGCAGGTCTCATAAATGTTTATGTCGATCCCCCACACACCTTGAAGACTGATGAATTCTGACCTACTTTTCTTCATCTTCTAAAACACCCGTCTGAGTAGGCTGCCCTGCAGACGCCCTTCAAACCTTTCTCACCCAGTTTTCAGAACTGTATAGTTTTTTGTGCTTCTCCAATTATCAGAATTTTAATTTATCTCTTAAGATCTAGCCAAATGCTCCCTCCTTTGTGAATCCCTCTCAAAAACCTCCAGTTACAATTCAAGGCTTCTGTTCCTTTATTTCCACACATTTCCTTTTTACCTTTATCGTAATGTTTATCCCCCTCTGCCTTGTTGGTTGTATCCAAAACTTTCCCCATCAGGCCATAAACTCCTCTCGCCTCCTCAGCTTTGTACCCCCAGGACATCTCTCACCATGCCTGGCTCAGAGTGGGTTTCATAAACCTCTGCTCTTGGTTTGGCACAGTTAGTACCCAAAACTACAAATCATGAACCAAAATGAAAACCTTCACCTTTTGTTTTTATATACTTCTGGAAACTGCATCTTAATGCACAGGACTATTTTGCCCTTAAGGAAAAGCATTATAATTCAGCATCAGCTACAATTCACATGATCAATAATAAATTCTAAAATCAAAGAATCAACAGAAACCTCATAGGAATATATAAAGTCATAAAACTGTGCTCTTGGAAACAGAATTTTAGCAACAGAGGAAACCCAGAAGAGCTTGTTTAGTCCCGTGGTCTATAAACTCCCCTCTGTAGAACTCTAGAGCTGGGAAGACGGGGTTTGCCAGGCCACCAAACCTAACTTCACCTGGAGTAATTCTATGTTTATGTGTTTCTATATGAGGTTTCCAAGCAAAACTGTCTTTGAAAAATAGTTTTGGTGTTAAAATGGTTTGAAAAAACAGAATTGAGCCTTCAGGTGACTTCTGTAACCTTGGTGACTCTGGGCCTCCATTTCCTCATCTGTAAAATACAAGAATAGTGTTAGGATAGATCACGCTTTTATTTGGAGCCCCTTCTGTGCATTTTCAAGTAAAAAACAGACCCCAAGAAGAGGGAAATGGCTTGTACTCAGGCCACATGGAAAGCTAATAATGGAAAACCAAGACTGGAATCTAGCCACCAGCTCTAGTTGTTGTTTTCCTCTCTCTTTTTAAAAAATTTCTACCAAGTGGGCATAAACAAACGATTAGATATTAATTATAAGAACAAAGTAGAAGATATCAGAAGGTATTATAAACATGTAAATACCATAAATTTGCCTTATTTAAAGCTCACCGGTGTGCTAGCTACAACAGACATTGATTGAACATTTACCTAATTTTACATTCATTCCTCAAGTTTGCAGAAATAGTTGGGTGAATTGTTTGTATGGCCCATTTCTCTTACAAGCTATTTATGAGTTATTTTCTTCTTGGTAAATCTCCGTTCAATTGGTGGAGGCACTTAAAATCATTCCGTCTATCATTCCTTTCATGTTTAAGTTGCACTGCATCTAGTTTTAAAAGCCTCACTAAGAAGCTGTGAGGGTTTGGGAATCAGGAGCCCCTGGATTCTGATCCTTCCATTCACCTCCTTTGCTTTGCTCATCTTCCTCTCTTCATCCTCTCCTCTCCAAATCAAGGGTACTGTGAAGAGGAGATGAAGTCCCAACGCAACTGGAGAGGTGTGTGTGGACAGGAAGGAAAGCAGGGCAGTTGTGCACCCTGGCCTCGTTGATGGTGGGGGGTGCTGATGGGCTGATGGTGTTACAGCCTTGGGGGCTTTTCTGTTCAAGGAAATGAAACAAAACAGCTCAGAGACCCCTTCTTCCTCCTCCTCCTTGCGTCCATGAGTAACTACCCATATGGTATGCTGCTGCTGAGACCAAGGAATGAGTGAGTAAAGGTATTTAGAAGTGGAATGTTGGTCCTAATTAAATAAGTGTCCTTTAATAAGTGTTAAAACTTTGTAATGTGGATACTCTATTAACTTGAGATTCATAGGATTTGAACACAATTTCAGCCACCTTTGCATCATGAAGAAGGACTTGAATGTGCCAGTTACTGTAATACAGTAATACATCAGGAAAGATGGCAGGGACAGTGTTAAACCTACTTAAGACAAACCTTCTGCATCCATTTCACAGGAACAGACTATTAAAAGCAAGTTTGGTAAGACCTACTTGTGGCAGTATGTTGTTACTCCTGTATAGGGTCATAAGAAATAATTAAAAGTAACGTTGACTTGATATACAATTCAGTCTGATTTCTCTTCCCTCAACCTCTGAAGTAGGTTCAAATTCTGATTAGCGCCGTTATATTCAGGGGGTGTTTTTAATCCAGACTTTTACAAAATTGCATACATTATATATATATATGGTGTGTGTGTGTGTGTGTGTGTGTGTGTGTGTCTGTGTCTGTGTGTCTGTGTGTGTGTATAAATATATATGTGGTAAGATGCTGGTCTTGCCATGAACAAAGCGATAGAAGTAATACTTAGAACAAGTGAAAAATAAAATTAATTTGATTGCTGTGTTTGGAATTTTTTTCATAAGTCTGGGAGAAAAACTAAAGATGGTCAGTTATAATTGATGCTTTCTGAGTTTAGATTTTGATGGTTTTCTTCACTTCTTGCTCTCTTCATTTGAGGGCAGGTAGACTCTTCTGCAATCTGCATTAGTCCTTGAATTCGAATTTCTCATGTGTTTGTACTTTTGTCCCAAACACATTTTTAAGTGAGTCAGATCATCTTCACTGGTAGGGAAAATTCAGGGTGTTCCTGGTGCTTTGGTTGTTCTGTGAAACTGAGTCACTTGCTACAGCATCTACCTTTCACCACTAAGTCTTCTTGTTCTCTTATGCTTGTTTTTATTATATGCTTAATTTAAAGCTATGCAGACGGCAATAACGCTGCATAATACAATATTTTTGGAAATCTTTATGATTAATAATGCTTGTTTTAAAATATCATATGACTTCACTGTGAGGACTTTAAGATACAAAATAGATGAACATAAGGGAAGGGAAACAAAAATAATATAAAAATGGGGAGGGGGACAGAACATAAGAGACTCTTAAATATGGAGAACAAACCAAGGTTGCCGGAGGGGGTGTGAGAGGGGGGATGGGCTAAATGTGTAAAAGGCATTCAGGAATCTACTCCTGAAATCATTGTTGCACCATATGCTAACTTGGATGTAAATTTAAAAATAAATTGTTAACTAAAAAAAAAGGGAAAAAAAAGTAATACTTGTTTTAAGATACTCAGTGCCAAATCTTGCTAAAGAATCATCTTGCAGAAATCTGATTGTGAGGGAGGAAATCTAAAAAGCAAAACAATCTCCAGGAAAGATAAGACTGGAAAAACAGGAGTTACTCAAACAGCTTAAGACTGAAAGAAAAGGTTGTGCTGCTTTTCTTTGATTTCATTTTGTTTTTTGTTTTCTGAGGCTTTTGTAAATTAAATTATTAGGTAGCTATAGTATATCTCTTTCATTTGTATATGACCCAAAACTTTATATTTTCTATGTGAATTTTAAATGGATTCTTTCCATAACATATAATTATCTGTTTAAAACACACACACACACACATTTGTAGTCAACTTTATAGCAACATTGGGTTGGTTTGTAAAATACGGTCTCAGATCAAACTCCATTTTCCCAGACTACACTTTTATTTGGAGTTAATGCTGCAATTCTGGAGGAACAACCTAACATGACAGTATAATCCAGCACCACTGAAAGTACTTTTTAATTTGTTCTCTTCACAAAGGTGCCATTAATAAAATATGTACTGCACAAATTTTGTAGAAGATTGGGTGTTCAGATCCAAAATTGTACGTAGAATTCCATGAATATCATCACTATGAAAATACTGAAGTATACCAAAAGGATGAGGAAGGGAAGATGCAATGTTGACAGATAAATTTAGAACTTCAGTGATATACCGTATGGTATTTCTAGAGTAGTCCAGACCTTTTTTTTAGCCACATACCTGAAAACTGATGTATAGAGTGCTCAAATGACCTGCAGAACGATCTCCTTGGTTGTCCATAGGAGTGAATACACTGTGCTGATAGACAGTTATGTTCAGAACAAGCATGCTCTCTCCTCATTCAGCAAGTCGTGACTATTTACCTGCCTTGTGTTCTCTGAGTTTGTACTTATCGTTTGTTATTCTTTTGCAGCGGTCGGTCAGTAAGGACAAGTCCCGGGGTTTCAGGCCGGGCTCAGGGTCTGTGACACAGTAAGCAACTTTTCCTTCTAAATACTTGCAGCAAAAAAGTTGGTTCTTTTTTTTTTTTTTTTTTTTTTTAATGTTTTATTTCTAGGAGAGAGAGAGAGACAGCGTGAGCAGGGGAGGGTCAGAGAGAGAGGGAGTCACAGATTGAAACAGGCTCCAGGCTCTGAGCAGGCAGTCAGCACAGAGCCCGACGCGGGGCTCGAACCCACGAACCGCGAGATCATGACCTAAGTGAAAGTCGGACGCTTAACCGACTAAGCCACCCAGGCGCCCCAGTTGGTTCTTTTTTAAGGACAATGTCTCCATTCTCTTTTTCTGACATAACACCAAAAGTTAAATTTCAGGGGCGCCTGGGTGACTCGGTTGAGCACCCAGCTCATGCTTTTGGCTCAGGTCATGATCGCAGGCTTGTGGGAAGGAGCCCCGTGTTGGGCTCTGTGCTGAACATGGAGCCTGCTTGAGATTCTCTCTCTCCCTGGGGCACCTGGGTGGCTGAGTCAATTAAGTGTCCAGTTCTTGGTTTCAGCTCAGGTCAGGATCTCATGGTTTGTGGGTTCAAACTCCACATTGGGCTCCACGGTGCAGAGCCTGTCTGGAAATCTCTCCCCCTCTCTTTCAACCTCTCTCTGCACCCCACTCAAAATAAATAAATAAACTTAAAAAAAAAGATTCTCTCTGCCCCGCCCCCATGCTCTCTCTCCCTCCCTCTCTCTCTGTCTCTCAAAAAAAAAGCCTCAAGCTTTAAAAAAGAAAGTTAAATTTCAAACAACCGATTTTTTAAAAGAGTTGAGCTAGCTTAGGGGAATATTTTAATGGCTGGACTTTGAGAATGTATGTAACTAAGTTATAAGAAATAATATTAAATAAAATTATCATACTAAATTTTTGTTTTTGTGGATCCATTTTGTCATTTATTTCTGTTTGAGTACCATTTTAAAATGATATTAACTGAAAACAAGTAGATGACGTGGCTAAAACAATATTATGAAATACCTAGTTTGAGGCACTGAAGAAAAGAAGCTAGTACCCAGGGTATTATCATTGTATATTTTCTACAAATGCCTAACATATTTAAGCAATTCATTTTGAAGTATTTATTCTAAAAGATCACTAGGAAGTTTTGTATTTTTATTTCGTACTTGCTGTGTCATTTAATACATAAATGAAAATCCCTTTTACCTCAAAAAACTTACATCAAAAACCTTCCTAGAATATTTCTCATTTTTTTTATCACTGCAGATCGTTTGGTACCTTTCAGCCCAAACTTCCTATTCACACATCACTAGCAAACTATCACATAAATGTAACAGCCTCGACAGCCTAGATAATCTGCCGTGCCCTCCTGTTCAGCCACCACCAACCATGCCCACATACACATGTGAGTACATCCTCACACACACATGCACCTGCATGATCCCAGCTGAATTTCATTCAGGAAGATATTTGTTCAGGTTAACCCTGATGTACACGTTGACATTTTGAAGAACAATATGTCTGTTTCAGTTCAAAAATTCTGAAGGACATGACAGTCTAATTTACAGGAATTATCAAATAAAATCATGCATTATTCCACAAGATGTTTTATTGTGTAGGTAAAAGACAAACATCATTTTTAAATGGTGTTTGAAAGACATGACCTAGAATATTCCTTGGAAATTTTCTATCTCCTGTTTTCTAGTCAAGAAAACTGAGGGGAAAGGCCTTGCGTAAATTTCCCAGGCGCTTCTCTGTCAGCACACAGACTGGAACCCAAGATCCCCAGATTACTAGGCTGTTTGTCTGTTTTTAAATTATATTTAGTGTTGTCAGCCTTCCTGGTAAAATGCCATTTTGTTGGAAGCTTTAAAATCTTTCTTTTTGAGAGAGAAAAATCTGATGATGATACAACTATATATATGGCCCTGTATCCCTTCAGAGCATAGCCACTCACGCGATCACATTTGGTTCTCACTATTTCCTTGCAGACCAGTATCCTGAGCCCTGTCTTAGATCTTAGAGGCTGTGACCTGTCTCAAGTCACCGTGGGTACCAAATGGCAGACCCAGGACCAGAACACAGGCTCTCAGTTTCCGAATCTGCTTTTCTTTCCAGGCTGTCCTGCTGCTTTCTGTACTATGCAAACACACATTCAGGTCTTTCCGATCTTTGTTCTTGTTACATCTGCCAGGGAAGTTTTCAGTTCCATTCTCTAACGCACTGAAATTTTATACAGTAGTTGATAATACAGTCATTGACCCTAAGGAGTTTATACTCAATGACAGATTACACATATAAAAAATACACTGGAACGATAAGGACAAACTGTTTCAACAACTAAAAAATACCATATTTAATACATTATGGCAACATTGCTCTTGTGTCTTTGAACATGTTTTATAAAAAAAATTTTGAACTAGTACCTAATATGCAAATGAGAGACTATAGTCACTGACTGCATTGGATACCTATTCTCCAGTGATACACAGATCCACACCATGCTCTCCAGATTAAATTTTTTTTAAAAACATCCCAGCTGCTAAAGGCTGTCAGGGTAGCTTGACTTCTCCTTTTGAGCAAAGAGTACGTACAAAGCTTCTGAAAATAAATTTTCATCAGAAGTTCAGATATGTCTAAATGCTCAAGTTCATCTGCAGCTTTTGGGCTTTCCCTATACTAGTAATTTCTTAGAAGTAGGGATGAATTAAGATACATTTCTCATGACCTCACAGCTGTAGGCGAGTGGAAGGTATTATAGCCCAGTATGTACAAAGAAGTCATTTCTTTATTTCTTTAATTTACCTAAATGAGTTCCATTGCACCCAAGTAAATGGACAGATGCTAATTTTTTTTTTTTAATTATAGAGAGAGAGCACAAGTTGGGGAGAAGAGCAGAGAGAGTGAATCCTAAGCAGGCTCCGGCATAGAGCCTGATGCAGGGCTTGATCTCACAACCATGAGATTGTGACCTGAGCCAAAATCAAGAGTTGGACATTTAATCGACTGAGCCACCCAGGTGCCCCTGGAGGCTAATTTTGTTTGTTTGTTTGTTTGTTTGCAGCCTTGCCATTCAGTTTGCAACTTATTTAGTTGGTTGACCAGAATATATAAATAAGTCACATAGGACTACCTCTTACCATTTCCACTTGAATTTCTGGTCTTATTTAATCTTTCTTATTTTTATTTTTTTAGAAATGTCTATCACTTCTGTGCAAGTAATTTTTACACATTTTAGTCAAACTGTACTCCCTTCTTAAGGTATCAGGAAAAACTCCAATAGGTTAATTTAACCAAGACATTTTCTTAAAAGTCTGAAACTTACACCTTTTGTAACTCACGCCCCTGTGATGTTATTATCTGCTGCCTGAGAGTCGGTAATTAAGTTTCTATTAATATGGGACAATCCTTAATAAGTAGTGTTCTGTGTTCCCTAGTCATTAACCTGTTTTTACTTGAGTTTGTTGGGGGGGGCGGGGGAGTGTTAAAGAAAGAATGTTTTATTTCATTAACAGCTTTGATCAGAGAATAGTTAATTCAGATAATTAAAGTCCTTTATTTAAGAACACTCAAATGTGAACTGAATGAATGAATGAAATCTCTTCTTAATATCATGAAGCCTTTAAGAGTTAATTCTAAGTGTCCTGTCACTCTTTCACTATATATTTATTCCAGTTTTATAATAATCCTATTCCAGACTCCTTCAATTTCCTTTTCTTTTCATGAGAAGGAAGTAGTTTACCTTTTTTCCTTAAAATACCCTATTGCTTGCAGCCTTTTTTTTTTTTAAGTGCTTGCTTTATCCATTTTTCAGCCTTTTTCTTACCCCCCTCCCACCCTGTGTTGGGAAATCAGACCTAGCATTGTGAAGTATGTGACATCACATATATATATTCTTTATATATTTAATTTTTTTTAATGTTTATTTGTTCTTGAGAGACAGAGGGTGAGCGGGGGAGGGGCAGAGAGAGAGGGAGACCCAGAATCCAAAGCAGGCTCCAGGCTGTGAGCTGCCAGCACAGAGCACGATGCGGGGCTCGAACTCACAAACCTTGAGATCATGACCTGAGCTGGTCAGACACTTAACCTACTAAGGCACCCAGGCGCCCCATTCTTTATATATTTTAAATATGTTCTTCTACAGATACATAATTTGCAGATATTTTCTCCCAGTTTCTGTTTTCTCTTTTCATTCTCTTAACAGTGGCTTTCAAAGAACAAGCTTTATTTTGATGAAGTTTATCAGTTTTTTTCTTTTATGAATCCTACTTTAGTTTTACTAAAGTAGTTTAGCCTTTGCCTAAACTCACAAAAGTTTTCTCCTACATCTTCTTGTGAAAGTTTTATAGCTTCACGTTTTGTATTTAAGTCTATGATCTGTTTTGTGTTAATTTTTATATATGGTATGAGGTTTGGATCAGAGAATTTATTTTGGTTTGATTGCATTTGTGTATTCTAGTTGTTCTGCCCGATTTGTTGAAAAAACAATCCTGACTCATATGAATGGCCTTTTTGCATTTTTGTGAAAATCACTTGTCAGTATCTGTGTGGATTTGTTTCTGGACTCTTGAATTCTGATCCATTGATCTACTTTTCTGTCTTTACTCAGTAACACACTGCCTTAATTACTAGAGACTTATAATAAAACTGGAAGTCTTGGAATGAGGTATTATTGGTCCTCCAACTTTGTCCTTTTTCATTGTTAGTTTAGGTATTCAAGGTCTTTTTTATGTACACATGAATTTTAGAATAAGCTTCTTCTACAGTAGAGCCTACTGGAATTCCAGTTGGCATTGCCTTGATTTTACAGATCAATTTGGGGAGAATTGACAGGTTAACAATACTTAGTAATATGACTCATTAACATATTTTTTCATTTATGTAAGTCTTCTTTAATGTCTCTAAGCACTATTTTTTCAGTGCTTATTATTAAAGTCCTGCACATGTTTGACTCATTTGTCCCTGAATACTTCATATGTTAATGATATTTATAATTGTTTGTTGCTCATTTATCCAAATACTACTACTGA